CCGACGCATGCACACATACAAAGATGGTCATTGCAGCACTGCTCAGAACAGGGAGAGAAGAAAGAAGCAATCTAAACAGCAATTAAAAGGGGTCAACTTAATATATCACGGGGCCAGCATTATAATTGCTCTGAAAAGAGAATGGCTTTAAATCAGAGTTTGTGGCGCTTATTGTCACCATCATTAACACACACACACTGCACACACAAAAAAACCAAAAAACAACTGAAGATTGTTCTTTATGGGCAATGGACTGGAGCTGCTTTCTTCTTGAGTCTTAAAATTTATCATGAAAAAGGATTCAAATAATAATACAGTTAAAGATGAAGGGAGCCCATGCCACCTTTCTTTGTGCAAAAAATTCAAAGAGACAATTAAAATACAAAAGTGTCCCCTTGAAGCACAGGCTAAATGACAGCTGCCACACGTTGACCTTATGAAGGACTGCTATGAAAAGGAGATCTGATGTCCGCATGACCTTCTGAGGGATGTTTGCAACATTCTTAATGCCAAAGAGAGAAAATGACCAGGTTTAGATCAGAATTTCTGTTCTCTGCATCATTCCAAAAATGTACGAGGCAGCAGGCTGCTTTGCCTCTGAGTGGCAAGGAGAACGGCCAGAGAAAGTCCTTTTCTGGAAAGTCTGCCCTGCCACGTTGCAGGGCAATGAGAACCTGTCTCTGCTGTCCCCAGCTTGTGGATCTGAGCAGAGCCCAGAGCAGGTGCGACCCGCCAGGGAGGAGCCCACAGCACTGAGGACCCTCCCTCCATCACTGATCACTGTCATGGGGCCCATGCGACGATCTGCATTTCCTGACCCTAGATGAAAGTTCATGCTCCCTTCATCTTTAACTGTGTTGTCGTTCGAATCCTGCAGAAACTAAGGGTAATAAACACTGTGACCACTTCTGTTGCTTAATCACAAGCAGGCAGAAAGGACTGGAAGGTAAGAGTACTACGCAATGGCAAACAAGGGTGTGAAGTTAAACCACAATTTAGAACCCTGGGGCTCCACGAGACCACAAATGCCATCACCTGCCCTGACTTTGGACTGACTCTACTCATGCATCCCGTAAACCTGACTGTACATTCCTTACTGGAAGAGCTCTGGCGAAGGATTGTTCCAATGTGTAATATTTACACTTGTTCTTATAATACACACAACCAGGGAACTGAAAATTCTTCCTGTTGCCTGTTAGTCTGTCGTCCAGAAGCAAAGGCATCATTAGGATAACCTGATCCCAGTCTCTCACCTTTGTCCCTCCTTGTCCCTTCCCCACCTAAGTCTGTCCTTATTCCCATTCTATCCATCCAGCTCACAGATCCCGTGGTTTCCAGCTGCCCAAAAGTCCCACAGTCGTCACCATGAACCAAGGAGGACGTGGTTTTTGGGTTATAAGACCAAAAGAGAGAACAGATTTGGTCACTCGGAATCCTGCCTTCCTGGATCTTAAGCCTCCATAAAAAAGGAAAACAAAAATCCTTCCTACACACATTTTCTCTCATCCACAGTTACAGGTTAAATACAAAAGCTGGGAAGTTGACAGGAAGGCAATGAATGCTGGAACAACTTACAAGGAAATCCCACCCTGAAATACGAAATGGCCGAAGTTCATAGGCAAGCCCCTGCTGTGTGCTTAACAACTCACAACAAAAACAGCCCCCAAACTTGGGTCCCCCTCTGGAATTTTAGCTTCTGGCAAATTATATTTTTACCTGTTTAAGAAAAAGTTTTAAGAAAAACCAGAGGAAAGCTTGGTTGTCCAAGGATGAAAACATCCTTCCTGTCCTACCTGCTGCTCCCAGCCATGGCCACACATCAGAAGAGGAAAAGATGTCACCTGGGATGGTGCTATTTTTCAGGATGACTTTCTTTGAAATAAAGGGATTTTGGAAACTGCTCTCCAACAGGTCCAAAATTGGATTATTTCTGATCAGGTTAAATGGATGAATAGCAATGAAAAGGGCCTCAGCTTCTAGAAGTAGTTTCTAGAAGCTTCTAGAAATAGCCGCCCCCCCCACTCAGGAGCACTCTTTGCCCCCCCACTCCTAGCCTGCCTGAGAGGAACTTCTAGCTCCATTTCCTGCACTGGGAGACTCTAGTACCTTTCTGAAGAAATAACTTCCATAAAAATTCCCAAAAGGTTTTTAAAAGAGAGTAATACAATACCTAAAGATCACTAATTCCTTTATTAAGAGGTTTTTTAAATTCAGATGCTCTGTTTGGAATATGAACAGACCCACATGTCCTTCCGGTGGAAAACCTGTGCTACGACCCCAGCCATCTGATTCTCCAATCACTGCATACAATTTCTCTGACTTAACAAAACTCTACTAAAACCCCACCAGGCGCAAAGCAATCACTACTCATTGATCAAAGATAATCTCTGAACACTCCAACAATTAAGTGTAATAAGAAGCTTCAATGGACTTCTAAAACAGGGCCTATAGGAGGAAAAAAAACATCTAAGAATATTCATCAGTGATTCCAAACCTATTTGGAATTCTGGTACCCTACTGCTGTTTGATTTCATGACTCTTTTTTTCTACCTTAAAATTGTTGCTTTGTGACTCATATTTGGAATTAAAACTTTGAATGAAATAAATATTTGCATTCATACGTATAGCTCTGCCCTTGAGGTCAGGTAAGCAGAGCTTTTCCCAGGGTCCCCGGACGGTGCCGGGACTTGCAGTCAGCAGTGCAGCCTAATTCTAGAGCCAGTGACATCGTCTGCCACTCAGCAGCTCCGACGTCCAAACGCTTCTAGAATCCCGCTCCACGCGTCTACCCGACACCCCTGCCTTCTTCCTGGAGTGTGGAACCTTAATCACATTCTGAACAGTCTGACATGGAAAAATTGGAAAAGTTGGTAGGAAAACCCTGGAACGAGCAGAGTGTTTTCCCTGGCTTGCAATACTACTGCTAAAAATAACACAATGCAAAACATATTTGTCGCTCACATACAATGGTTGCAGAATGTAATTACGGGCTGTGTTTCTGTCTGGGCTGGAGACGAGGGAGGAGTTGCCAAGATCCAGAATACGAAAGGAATAAAGGACAGCGTGTGCAACTCCCAGCTCCTGTACCCTGTGCCATCCACAGCCTCTTGGTGACTTGAGGTTTTGCTCAAGAAATACCTGTACCATCCAAACCTGACTATTCCTGTGGGGCCAAGAAAAATCCTGAGCCAGGTAAGGTTTAAAATTTTAGGTCTGTGCAGTGACTAGAGCACCTATCAGTATCAGCAGGTTTTATAGCCTATCTAGAAAAAGGTGGCCAAACCCTAATTAACATAAAAATATAAATATCCTAGCTCCTTTGACATACTTAACACTTTGTATTTTAATTAATTTATAGAAATAATTGCTGCTGCTGCAAGTTATTTCAGTAACACATTGGTTTTTTTTTGAATACCTCCTAAAATGAGAACAAATGCAGGGAATGTAGGAGAGTTTATGATGTCATATTTTCTAGTATATTCCCTGAGCCACGGTTTCTTCATCTGCAAAGGAGGAGTAAAAAGACTGCTAGCTTTACTCGGCTGTTAGTGATAAGATAAAGTAAAGGGTATAAAACCACTTTAACAGTCCACTGCCATATACATAGTAAATGAAAACAAGTAGCTCACATGTGGGACACCAATGCTTAGACCTGTGTGACGTGTGTTTTGTCCCTTAATCCTCACAACCCTGCTACTGTCATTTCCATTTTATGGAAATGCAAACTGAGGCTTAAGGATATGAATTTCCTCTCCCCGAGTTACACGGTAACTTGTAAGTGGTGAAGCCCAGAACTTCTGGTATTAGAGGCACGGTTGTTGGTCACTGTTTTGCAATAGCTGCGGTTACGATTTAATATGAATGTCAGACCTGGCATGAATCCACACGATCTGGCTGCAAAATTCCAGGAGTTCTCATTGCTACACATTAGACAGTTTTTAACACATTTGAAAAACCTGTCCACTTGCTCCTATGTTGTTTTTGTTTCAAAAGTCCAAATTAACAGGTGTCTTTAAAGTATTCTGAACTCTGTGCTTTAACCTCATGCATTGTATGGAAGCAACAATGGGCTTGCTTTGTGTACTTTTTAAGCTTGGTGGACTTAACTACTCACAGGGCAACTGATGGCCCTCAATTAATCCCTTTCAGCTAACCACCTTGAGTGTGGCTCTTATCACATTCAAATGGCCGGCCGGACTGTTTACCTATCTTCACTGTGGCTGGTGCAAACAGAAAACCCCATACTACCAAGTGATTAGGTTTCCTTTTTTTTTTTTTTTTAAAGGTTTTCTTTTTAAAGCATGCCTTAAAACCCACCTTTCTCATCCACACCTCCCTCTTCCTCCAAAAAGCCTTTATTTGTCTTCTTGGGATTTAGAAGCCCTGTTTTTCCTAAAAGTCCAGAAACTCTGATATTTCTAACAGGATTTTTTTTTCCTAGTCCCAGAAAATGCCAATGAGAAAAGCACACTTAAAAATGCACTTTAAAAAAAAATGTGCAATGTTCATAAACGCGATTCAAAGACTATTTCTGTGATATTCCACAGATTTTATTTCTGGCATTATATGATGTGAAAATACAGAAATATACACAGTCCTATTAATAATTTCAGATCTGTCTTAAGAGTAAAAAAAAAAAAACCACACACACACACACACATACACACAACATCTGGGAATAATCAACAAAACATATAGTATCTCACGTCTCAGATCATCCCACCCTTATCTATGACATTTTTATAACACTATTCGCAGGGCACAATCAGAAAAATGCATAATGCATCACTTGTTTTCAGCTCTATTCAAAAATCTCAGTTCATTCAATTAAAAAAAAAAAAAGCCCTTAAAAACAGCCCCGAAGCACGAACGTTTGTGTGGGAAGGCTCTACTTATTGATTCAGTCCTTCCTGCCAAGAGAACAATGCAGAGAAACACACCGCAATGTTTCCAAATAATTTTTGGCAATAACTCAGGGAAAAAAAAACACGCATATTTACCTGTACTCAAAGCTCCACAGGTGAGGCAGTGAAAGCAGAAACTCTAAAGTCGTCTTCTGGAAGTTTCCGTCTCTAATGGAGTCCAGGGTCATCCTTCGGAGCTGTCAGGTAAGCCCCCCTCCATGTCGCTGCTATTTGCTTTTGCAGTTTTTCCCAGTGAAACTCTTGTAATTTGCATAAAACCGACTTGTAGCCTATAGGACTTTTTGAGTAGCTACTTGTTAAATCGGCTGTCTTGACATGCTCTTTCAAGCATGACATCATAAATCTCCATGGAAACCCTAACCCCACCTACCTACATGCCAACAGTTACCTGTTAGGGGAAGACTTAAACAATCGTCTGAAATTGCTCATTAATGAAACCTTTTTAGGGGCTTTGGATCTCTGCACAGTGTAATTTGTGCAGTTGGCAGAAACTTAAGCCAAGAACGATGGCTTCATTTTCAAAGCCTGAGCTGTTTTGCAAAAAACAATGATCAAAATTATAGGCATTCGTTAATCTGCCTCTCCCTGTCTAACAATGCACTTAATTGGTGGAAGAAAAACCTACAGAGGCCATGCATGCCTCTGTCTCGGAAGGATAAAGTTACACTGAAAAACTCAGATCTTGGAAAAAACCCTTAACTGATACTTCTAAGGCTTTTCCACTCAGTTCTCCACCAACCCCCTTCCTACTTTTTACCAGCAAAACTTGCAAAACAGGTTCCCTGCCAGAGTATATGTGTGTGTGTGTGTGTGTGTGTGTGTGTGTGTGTGTGCATTTTTCCCTTGGCCTCCGCAATTGCAGATGGCAGGAGAAGGTGTGGAGAATTTTTTAACTCTTTCCTAACACGCCTGCATCTTTTGCACATCTATCCTAGTTCACACAAATGACCAGAATAGCACTGAAATCTATTCTAGGCTTTTGAGGAATAGTCACTAGCCTGTAAGGTATTCAATCCTTCTTCCATTCATTCAGCTTTTCATTATCTCAAATGTTGTGGAATTCCTACTGTTTGCACAAAGCTGTGGACACATTTCTCCCAGATCTGTGCCCAAACCCTCTTGGTGAGGCTGGCTCAGCCCTCTTTCTTCTCATCTCTAAATTCACTGAAGACACACCTCATATTTGCCACCTCTAAGGCTGCTGACCCCCGGGGAACCAGAAAGGTTTGCATGAGCCCAAGTTCAACCCCTCCCCCAGGGGAGTTTATCATAATGTTATCAGGCGACTGTCGCATGCCAAAGCATCAAGTTCTTCAGTGGGACCGAGCAGGGAGCAGAATGCAGTTACACACACAGAATAAGCAGAGAAGCACTTTTACAGCAGCCTGGAGCAGAACGCATTAGCTGCAGAGTGCTGGAAACACCAGCAGCTGAAAAGCAGCCTGCTTTAACTTGCCACCGATCCTGCTGCAAACAGCAACAGGCTCAGCAGCATCTGTCTTTGAAGGTTGGAGAGCAAATATTAACCTCTCCACCTGGCTGAGCCCGCCCCGGTATTTTGCAGAGAGAGCCAGCAGAGGTTAAAAACAAAACAAAAAAACTCAGAATGACTCTTTCCATAGACGAGAACTGTAGATGCTTTGGATCACCAACTCCCACGATTCTGAGAGTTTTGCATTGCCATAGTTCACAGTCAACAGATGGGACATTACCTTCCAAGGGAAGCAAGAACTTCCCTGGTTTAATATAGCAGCCGGAGTTGGAACACTCCTCCCAGGCAAGACTATTGTCAGAGATTCAATTACTGCCTCTGCGAATTGAAAATACATCCAGATGAAGCCCGAGCTTGTGCTTTACCCAGTGGGGCACAAACACAACGGGAAACAAACAAAAACAAGACAGAACCGGATCTAGGCTTTATTCAGTGAAATCTGAAGATGGGGGTGGACGTACTATTCAATTACAGTTATTCCTCAAAGTTCCATTAGAGAGAAGAGCATGTGCGAGTTGATTCAGTAGTCAGAGTGGTTATAAAGTATGCCAGTTCTTCCCTTTGGGTTATTTAGGAAATTACAATATCTCAGCTTCTGCTTACGGAATTCAAGCTCGGGAAGAAGAGTGAGAAGAGTGAGAATGTCACAGGCAAATGGAAATAGTCACAGAAATAATTCAGACGTGAAAGCAACTTGATTAACCCATTCATCTGCAGGCAGGCAGAGGTAAACGCTGACCTAAGAATTTGCAAGTGACAATGACATCATTATGATGATGAGGGATCTTGAACAACTCAAGAGCAGGGAAAGTTTTGGCAACAACAATCTCAGCAATGAGGACAGCACGTGAGGGCTGGGCAGAAATGCCAAGATTTGATTAGAGGTGACCGGTCCAGTAATGATTTTTCCTACCGGCCCCAAATGAGAACCTCATGCTGACTAAGCTTTAACCGGTCGCGATTTGCTTGATAGCAACTTAGGGCCACACTGATCAAGCCGGAGCTCAAAAAATGCAGGGAGCTGAGCTAGTTTGTTCCTAAATTTGCAACATCCTAGATATCTATAATTGACTTGGAGAGCAAATAAGAGTCCTTCTCTTGAATTTGTTTCAATGAACTTACTTATAACAGAAATAGAAAACTGCTCACTGATAAAAAAAAAAACCATGAAAATATAAGAATGCAAATAACTGGTGAAAGAGGGTAGATTTAACAAACATTTATGGCCTGAATTTTTGTTGTTTAAGAAATGTGAGTTAAAAGTTGTTGAGTTGAAAAGGAATACTTCTTCGAAGAGATACACCAATGCTTTTTATTTTTTTTTAATTTTTAATTTTTTCAATTTATTTCATTTTCACTTTTTGTTTTTTCAGCCATACTGGTGAGTATGCCCACCAGTGCTTTTTAATCATTAAAATAACCAATCCTTATCTCATTTAAGCCTCAGAGCAATAGTGTGACATAGGATAGTATGATGTAACCCTGTTTTACAAATGGAAAAATTGAGCCTCAGAGAGATCAGGCATTAATAATTTCAGTACATTTCATGGCCATAAGTGTTGGAGTTTTGATTTGAACTCAGGCAGACCCAAGATTTGAACCCTTAAAACGCCTATGCTTAACCACCAGGCATTGTTACCGGTAGTTTAATAAAGTTGTTCCTAATCCTAACTAAACTAAACCCTGCTGAAAGGATTTATTTAGTAGACAGACCTGAAAGTACATACTGGATTGTGAAGAGTAAAAGCCCACCTTCTGCAGATCCTCCCAGAGATACCAAGTCAACAGATGGCTCTTTCTGGAATAGGCAGGGACATTACATCAGCTCAGCAGCAGCGGTGGAGAAGCAGCATTTATTTAGCTGCAGGCTGTGTATGGGCGTGTAGGCACCGCACAGAGCAGGGTTAATGCATCATGACTCAGGGCTCAGCCCTCAAAACTCCAGGGCAAACAGATCTCTGGATGCAGATAGGCTCATGAAACAGAGACTCTCAAGATATATCTGCAACCTGAACTTCTGGTCTACAGAGAAACTGCCAAACATTAAAGGATAATAAAAACAGGTATAACATTTTGTAAGCCAAGAACACACTGTAAGTATCAGCAAGAGAATAAGGGCACTTGAATTTTTGGATGAAACAATGGAATCCAACTGTGGTAATTCCCTAATGCCAAACCCTTGATCTTTGGCTCTGTGTTTGCTTACAGTTGCTGTTTGTTTTAGAAATCATCCATTCACATTTTGTCAACTGTTGTTACGGTGCTGAGGGTGATGGTTAATTTCATGTGTCGACTTGGCTAGGTTATGGTGCCCAGTTGTTGGGTCAAGCACCAATCTAGATGTTGCTGTAAAAGTATTTTTTAGATGTTATTAACATTTAAATCAGTCAACTTTGAGTAAAGCATATTGCCCACCATAATGTGGGTGGACCTCATTCAATCAGTTGAAGGGCTTAAGAGCAAAGACTGAGGTCCCCTGAAGAAAAAGGAAGTCTGCTATTGGTTCTGTTTTTCTAGAGAGCCCTGATTAATACAGCTGATAACCCAACATGTATGTGTCTTGTTTTTTGGCGTAGGGTCTAGTCCTATTCTACGGCCAACTGTCTAACAGTCATTTTCACTTGGAACTACTGTCATTTCAGCTTGTCAAGACCTAAACTTAAGCAATTGTTTGGCATTTACCTAACATGAGTTGTATTTAATAGAGAAGAATAGACATACAATATTTGCTGTCAAATTTAGATGAAGTCCATTAGTTGTTATAGGCTGAATTCTCTCATTAAAAGCTACGTTAACAAATTAGGCTTAAAAAAAAAAAAGCAAAAGCAAGTTATAGGTAGTTTCTAATAAACATACTGATTATAGGTTAAATACCTTTTATCCAAGACGGTTGAAACCAGAAGTGTTTTGGATTTCAGATTTTTTTTCAGATTTTGGAATATTTCAATTATATATCATACTTACCAGTCAAGCACTCCCTAATCCAAAAATCTGAAATCCAAAATCCTAAATGTTCTAATAAAACATGACCTCTGAGCATCATGTCAGCACTCAAAAAGTTTCAGATTTTTTTTTTTTATTTTTTTTTATTATTTATTCGTCTTCTTTTTTTACTGGCAGGATCAACCAGGTAGTTTCAGATTTTGAAGCATTTCAGATTTCTAATTTTTAGATTAGCGAAACTCAATGTGGCTTAATACAGAAAAGTTGAAAATAAGTGGTAAGACATACCTGACAAATGCAAACAAATATAAAGAATGATAATATTAAGAAAAGTTAAACACTAAACAGAATAAAGAAGTCATCTGGTAATGTTAAAGACACAATTTATGAAGAAGGTGCAATCATTTTAAATGTGTTTGCAACAAACAACAAAGCAACTAAAAAACTGTAAGGCAGAAATTCTTAGGAATGCAAGAACAAGATAAAAAATCCAATTATATGGGAGACTTTATCATACTTTGTTCAGAACAACATAACTCTGAAAACTAAAGGACTGAGAAGAAATGAACAATGCAATCAACAAACCTGACATATACATGCCTGTCTGTCCGTGTGTATAAAATAACTGTCCAGGCATATCTATGGGACACTTACAAACACTGACTGCATATTTGGCTACTCAAAAAAAACTTTTTTTAACAAATCTTTAAGCAAAATTTAAAAGTAGTAGCTTTATGCACTGCAATCTCTGATCACATCCAATTGAATGATTAATGAATAATGATAATCTTGATTACTTGGAAATTAAATATTCCTAGACAACATTATCACTAGTGATTCTTGGAAATTAAATATTCCTAGACATCATTATCACTAGTGATTCTTCACAGTTCTCTAGTCCTTGGTATTTGCACAAATCATGAGTGGGTGACACAGACAGTTGGGTGACTTGCTCAAGCTCCTAGCACAAAGAAGGCAGAGTGAGACCAGCACCCAGGTCTGGGGTGTCCCATGGGTGATCCTGCTCTTCCTGCTATACCTGTGGCAGCCTGTGTACCTTCATCCTTCTCCAATTACTCCCCAAGGTGCACCCACTTTTCTTCCAAATATCCAGTGTGTCAGCAAGCTTTTGATAGACATACCACCATTTCCTAATGCATGTCCCATAAAACATGACTCCTCAAAACAGTAATTCTGTGGGTCTAATAGGTTTGGGAAGCACTGTGTATTTCATACCTCACCCACCTACTCCCAATCTCCCTTCAAGATTCACAATGCCTGTTAGTATATTGAAAGATCTGACCAGGGCCAGGTGCAGAAGCTCACACCTGTAATCCTAGCACTCTGGTAGGTCTAGGAAGGAGGATTGCTTGGTCTCAGGAGTTCGAGACCAGCCTGAGCAAGAGCGAGACTCCACCCCTACTAAAAATATAAAAATTAGCTGGGTGTCAGAGTACCTGCCTATAGTCCCACCTACTCAGGAGGCTGAGGCAGGAGGATCACTTGAGCCCAGGATTTTGAGGCTGCTATGAGCTAGGCTGACACCACAGCACACTCTACTCAGGGCAACAGAGTATGACTCTGTCTCAAAAGAATAAAAAAAGAAAAGAAAGAAGATCTGGCCAGTTCCCACAGTGTAGAAATTCATTTCACTTTGGTTAACTAAGAATTTTCCCCCAGTTAGAAACTTTCTCCCCATTCCTCAAACAATTATTAACAGCCTGGGGGCCTAGGGTTCTGTAGAACAGACCCTTACAAAACGCTGGTCTGATGCACTGCAATTTAGAACGCAGTGGATGCCTTAAGGTGTACTGGCCTTGGCTTTCCATCCAGAATGCCTTCCCCTTAATGAAAGGGGCTTCAACATGTATTCGACATCTGCTGCCCTGAAGATGTATTGATATCACCTCATCTGACCCTCAACACAACACCACTGTTTATCTCATTCTGCAGTTCAAAAAAAGCTTCAAGGCAATTGACTGACTCCCCTGAAATTACACAGCAAAGAGTATGCCAGTGTACATAAATTCAATTCAATTGTTATTTTGGGGGGTTTTTTTTGAGACAGGGTCTCTCTCTGTTGCCAGGGCTAGAGTGCCATGGCATCAGCCTAGCTCACAGCAACCTCAAACTCCTGGGCTCAAGCGATCCTCCTGCCTCAGCCTCCCAAGTAGCTGGAACTACAGGCATGTGCCACCATGCCTGGCTAATTTTTTCTATATATTTTCAGTTGTCCAGATAATTTCTTTCTATTTTTTTTTAGTAGAAACAGGGTCTCATTCGAGCTGGACTTGAACTCCTGGACTCAATCGATCCTCCCTCCCTCAGCCTCCCAAAGTGCTAGGATTATAGGCACAAGCCACCACACCCAGCCTAGAAATTCAATTTTATCAGACCCACTATTCTTTCCACAAAAGAGACATATATCCTTGGCAGGGCATGCTATGGTTTGGATGTTTGTCCCTCCAAACCTCATGTTGAAATTTGATCCCCAGGTGTTGGAGGTGGCATCTCCTGGGAGGTGTTGGGTCACTGGGGGAGGGGGGGGCAGATCCCTCAAGAATAGATTAATGCCCTCCCTGGAGAGCTGATTGTTAAAAAGAGCCTGGCACCGTGCCCTTGCTTCCTCTCTCGCCATGTGAGCTCTGCACACACTGGCTCCCCTTGCCACCTGGCATGAGTGGAAGCAGCCTGAGGCCCTCCCCAGGCACAGATGCCCAATCCTGAGCTTTCCAACCATCAGAATCATGAGCCAAAGAAACCCCTTTTCTTCACAAGTTACCCAATTACCCAGTCACACGTATTCCTTCATAGCAACTCCGAATGCACTGAGACAGGGCAGGTGTTGGGTTTTATACTTTTTATATAACGCCCAAGGCCGAGCTCAGAATGTAGGTAAGGTCCATGGTAAATGACAATTCAATTGCATTCATCCAAGAACACACCTGCGGGAGGAGGGATGAATAAATGGCAAGGAAGTGGGCTGGTAAGAAAAGACAGGAAGGGCAATGTGACGTGTGCAATACGCGTTCTGCATCTACGTACTGGACTCAGTCACGCTGGGCTATTTCAGATCCCTCGATACCAACAATGTCTAACGTGGTGGCAATTTTCTCTAGGTTTTGCTGATCACCACTCTGCAGGTGTTTCCTGGCGCTGCACAGTTCTACTTTGGATTCTTGCTTTCCCTCACTGTGCCACCTACTCCCGGGCACTCTTTAACAGGTTTTCCAGTAGAATCTTATTTTGATTTTTTTGCAGAGCTCTTCTTAATATAGCAGCACTGTTCTCAAGATACGTGCTCTTGCTCTTCCACAACACTAATTAAAATGAAAACTAACGCTGCGGTTGGTGGCACCCAATTAAACATGGATCAAAAGCCATGTGTTATGAATGATCCCCACTTAGGATTCTTCTTCTCTTTTTCTACATTCTTTATCATTAATGTCAACTCTACATCAGATCTGCAAGTCAAACTGCAACCCCCGAACTCAGGCTTTTTGATCACTGATTCTCCACTGCAAGACGTCCCACTATGAAATAGTTCACATCTTCTGAGATGTATTTCCATAGCCCGTTAAGTCTGCAGTCCTCAACACCTGGGTGGGGACCCAGGACCGGTCTGTGGCTGGTTAGGAACGGGGCCATGCATCAGCACCTGAGCTCTGCCTCCCTGCCACCCGCTCCCTGCCCAGTTCATGGGGAAATTGTCTTCCATGAGACTTAGGAAGGAGGCTGCACAGCAGGAGGGGAGCAGCAGGTGAGCCAGCGAAGCTTCATCTGTATTTAGAGCCGTTCCCCACCACTCAAATCACCACCTGAGCTCTGCCTACCCCTCAACCCACTTCCCCCAGCCATGGAAAAATTATCTTCCACGAAACTGGTCCCTGGTGCCAAAAGGTTGGGGGCCACTGCTTTAAGCCACAATTCCAAACAGCAATCCTCTGGCAAATACTGGCAGGCTCGCACCTTCACCTGTTCCTTTGAGAAGCATCATCTCTCTTACATATTACACTCTTCTTTCTGTCCATTTCTTTCACTGCTGTGTTTGATCATATCCAGGTTCAGGTAACTGTCGTTTCTGGCCACTGAACACGTGCTGATTTCCCTTAGACGTATCCAAGATCATGTGGAATTTGAGGACAAGAAATGCTTTTATGCTGGTTCTTTCAATCCTATCACATTCTTTGCTCACAAGCCTCTAGCATTTCATCCAACACACACTCACACATGCAAGAAGATAAACTCTCCAAATATGACTTATGATTCTGTTAGGATGCCGTGGTGTACCAGCTGTTGCTCTGGCAACGTTTTCTCAATTTTTAACCTTTGTCAGATACCACTATTTATGCCACTGCTTCTTGAGGGCCAAATTCCTTTTTTCACCCCAAATTATTAAAGGCAGATCCAACCAGGAGGCTGGCATGTCAGATATGGATCACCACTAAATCTCACTCACACCTAGTGACACTGGGCAGCCGTGTCCTGCCCGTCCAGTTCTCCTTCATTTCTTTGGTGTTTGAGAACATATTTCTGTCCTGTCACCCATCATTTTCCCCTTTGGATTAGAACAAATTAGTAGCTCTAGAAAAGAAACTCTCAGCTGAGTCTATTTCCTTTACTAGAATGCCCTGTAAACTTTTTACTTACGTAGTTATTTATTTACAAAACATGTCTAGTTTTTAAAACCTACATCTTCTGTAACATTAGCCTTTTACCTAGACTTTGACCATGGCCTAAGGTCTCTACTAACTGAACAGTTTGTGATGTTTGTGCATCTTTAGTTCCAATTAGCCTCACCTCCTCACCACCTTATTTATGGATAAGTTATCCATAAATATAGATGCATATATGTTAATTTTGAACACACACACACTAAGGGCTAAGGCAAACGTGATAAGCAAAAATCTAATTAGAGTTTTTCATACAAGACAGAGGGACTACATCTGTTTCCTAGGGTATAAACTGATACCCTGAGATCTACAGCATGCAGAGTAACCCAGTGTGATAGGGTTACACTGGATTGTATCGATTAAGTTCATCAAAAATAAATCATAAAAATAAAGATGCCATTACATATAGATATAAATATGTTCGTATATTTACATTATACATAAAAGCCATTGATGTTATTGTACAGAGAGCCATAAAGCACTTTGTACAACAAAGCTAATGAAACAATTAGTTATATTTGGGAGAGTTGATAAAAAGACATGAGGCAAGAGGATTTCATTCTTAAAATGGATTCCACAGCCAATATCTGATAAAACATCCCAGATGGTGCTAGAACCAAGATGTTACAATGAAGGGAACTGACATATGCCACTTCTGGGCCAAT